AACAGTGCACTTTTCATCCACCAGTCTCAACACTTATTTACTGATTCTAATCACAATTACAGTCGTATAGACGACAGAGGTACTTGAGATTACGTAGGAGCAGTAGCTTAACACAGTTTCCTCCTTTTTGGTTTCAATGGCGGCCCTTTTTTCTACAGATCGATCAACTTGGCTCTGCTGGGACATTGCAACTGGCTAAACGAGACAGAGGTATCCATGTTGTGCCATCTCGTCATTCAAAAGAGATCACACAGAAACACACAAGAGGAACACTGGACAGGTATACGACCCTTCAAAGGGGGGCCCTTGCCCGCTACAGCGAGCAAAGCCTCCAAAGAAATGAATTTAATTCCATACGGTCCTGTCTTAAGCGAGCAAAAGTTCTCTTTCTCTCCTCCAAAGTCTTCCATGCGCACTCACTAGATACAACAAGGGCCTTGATTAGCTTAATCATTCCCTCGTGCTTTACCTTTAATCACCCACCTTTTAAGCCCTAAAGTGGGGTCTAATCTAAGGGTGCAAAATGTGGGGGGAATCTTCTTCTTCTCTTCCTCAAATTGTTGTGCTTTGATTTGCATGAGACAACACTTCACATCATTGTCTCCAAGGGGCAACTTCGCCGTAGTACAAATTGCCCTAGCTATAGCTACACAAGTTACTTGGAAGTTCTCTCCTGGAAAAGGTGGTGGGGTGGGTGGGGTTGCCCTAAAGACTTACATACACGCACCTGGGAAAGAATATCGAAATGTACACCGGGTTTGGTTTCTAGTTGTTTGAAAATTAACTTAACTGACACGTTTAGTGGGTTTGGTTTTTCTTATTCTTGCACAGTTTTAAATTAAACTGGCTGGCAATCGGCAATCCCCCGATCTTTCAAAAAGTCTTTCAAAGGAGAAGACAACAGTGACAAAAACGGCCATTCAGCCGTTATTAGCAACTCTATCATTATTCTATGCGCGATTTTAATCAATGAATGTGAAAATTTCCATCCCTTTGGTTTTGTGTGTATCATTTGTATTTGTGGTGGTCTTGTCCAGTAAAATAGAACCCACGGCCCATTCTATTAAGACCCCCTGCGGTCGCGCCACGCTTCGCGCTTCCCTGCCGTCGATGCCCAGCGATCTAACGATGCCGCGCCGCGCTGAACTGTCCGTGCGCATTCTCACTTCTAGCGGTCCAGAACTGGCGTTTGGGCCAGTCTAGCCCCAAATTTGTACGGCTAGAGAAAACCCATCTTCTTGAACCCTTGGCGGAGTGGTAGTGTGTAGCGCTTCCATTTCTTTGCTTTCTCTCTCGATCTTCGCTATAATCTCTCCTCCCTTCCAATCCATTCCACTCCTCGTCCGCGGCGGCAAATTCTGGCCAGATCAAGATTCGTCGCGAGGAGCCTCGGATTAGATAGATCGATTCCTTTCTTTGCCGCGGCCGCGACGCTAATCGATCCGTGGCGCTAGATAGTTGCGATATTTCGGGGCTGGAAGGAAGAAAGATCGCATCGCTTGGCTTGGATTCCAAGGCTGTGACGAAGAAGAAGACGAAGAAGAAGAAGAAGAAGAAGAAAGAGATTTCGCAAGAGAGGGGGAAGGGTCTTTGTCGGCGGCAATAGCTTCGCTCGCGCGGCGAGAGCTCGATGTCAACAACGGAGCTGAGCCACGCCTGGGGCGGCCAAGACGATGCATCGCGGCGATTCAAGAGGTCAGCTTTGGATCTGAGCTTGAGCATTGGTGATTTCCAGACGAAAAGACTCCACCAGGAGGAAGGGGACGATCTTCCTCTCGCTCGCTTCGGTTCTCACCACATCCTCTCGCCGGGCCAGGCCGTTCTTTTGGAGGTCAAGCCCGACGAGAGCTGCTGGACCCGGGATCATCCCAAATTCCAGGAATCGCCCAAAGATTTGGATTCTTGCAGCGGCACCAATCAATCCAAGCCCAGCGCCTCCGGGGACGTGGAATGCAGCAGCCGGGATTGGATGTCGAGCCCTCCTCTCTTCGACAGTGCCAAGAGGCCGGCTCCTCCTCACGATCATCACCACCAAGGCTTGGTAGGAGGAGGGATGATCTCAGTTCCTCCTCCATCTCTCGATTCCTCGCCGACGGCTTTCGGCGGCCAGGCGTCCGAGCCGCGGGTCTTCCCTTGCCCGTATTGCCAGCGCAAGTTCACGAGCTCGCAAGCGCTGGGCGGCCACCAAAACGCCCACAAGAGGGAGCGCACCGCGGCGAGGCAAGCGCAGCGATCTCACAGCCTCGCGCAGGCCTACCGCCACATCCACTCGCCCATCCTGGGCTCCGGGGCCAGCTCCCTCGACAGGAATCTCGGGGTGAAAGCCCACTCGGCCGCGCATCTCACCGCCACCACGCTGATCGAGAACGCTGTGCGATCGGCCAATGGTGGCGGCGGGGGAAGCCCAGCGCCGGCTCTCCCGACCGGGCACCACGGATGGCTGCGACCAGCCTCGATCTCATTGCAGCCGGCGGTGGGGAAGTATCTGGGCGGAGGAGGAGGAGGAGGGATGAGGAGCGGTGCTCGGTTTGAGGATCTGGTTGGAGGGGGCAGGGGATTTGGAGCAAGCTTCCTCGACGAGGATCTTCCGGGCGGCAAGT